GCCCAGGTTGATTTTTTTTAATTTAAATTGAGAACAATTTTTTCTGCTATAACAAAAATGTAAACAAGTGTATACGAATTGCTTACAAATTAATATACATGTATTAATTAAAATAGCGACCGTTTTCAATGACATAAAAACAAAAACATATTTTACATATACACTCACATTGTACCTTGTTCTTTTAAATATATTAGTAAGAATTTGGTATCGCGTCTATTTTTCAGTTTAACTTTACAGTATTTCCCATATTATTATTATTATTTCAGCCGCTTACTGTCCATTGCTACCTGAACCTATTTGCTACCTGTCCATTGAACCAAACATAAGCCTTTCCCATAAGGTATAAGGGGAATTTTGCCAGTAGTTACCACGCTAGGCAGGCGGGTTGGCAACCGCAGTTAAGCTTTTACAGATGTTTTAATAAGGATACTACTACCCATCCCTCCACCATTAGCTTTCTTAGTCACCTCTTACAACACCCACGGGAAAGCAAGGGGTGCTCCATTCTATGCCGGGTCCTACACAGCGATTTCCCATATACCAAGTAAGAAATGTATACTATGCTTGTGTGGTCCTGGCGTGGAATAGGTTACCCCTTCCTTTCCCATGGGTAACGTAAGAAGCGACTAAAAAACTCAATAATTGAGGGATGGGCAGCAGTGTCTCTCTTAAAACATCACCAAAGCCTAACTACGATTGCCACCCCGCCTTTAAAACGTAACTACTAGCAAAACCCCTAAGAAGAAGGCTTATGTTCAGCAATAAACAGTCATCAATATCATTATCATAGTACAAACAAATGACTAAAAAAGTTGACCAGTTTTGACAAAGCATTTGTATAAAGACACTCTATCTGTATAATCTAAATTCACTAGAGCAGGGGAGGATTATGAGTAATACCAGTATCATTGCTAACAACCTCGACCTCCAAGTGGTCCCTGAAAACCGTCATGTTGAATTCCAGGTGTACTCATCATGATGGGCTAACTGACCGGTCTATTCGTTCTCACCTATCATTCCATTATCGTCCATTAAAAAAAGTACACGGCATCGTAGTACTAATAACAATACCACATTACTCCCAAAGTATTATTATCCTTTACATACACCATTTCCTTTATAATACATTTCTACCTGAGTTACCCACCCCAAAGTTGTCCTGCGAATTGTATAGACAGCCGAGCATTTTTTTTTTATTATATTTTTAAAACTCGTTCGACTATGCAGTCTAATTTTTCATTGAGTTCGTTACTTACACTGAAGTACTGTAGTTTTGTGATCCACAATATGTTAATTATAAATGCAAATATGTAACAGACATCCATAGCTTTTATTTTAAATTTATCCATGAATTTATATTTTCAGTTGATTGATCATGAATCATGAATTCTAAATTCGTATTTAACCAAATGGAATAATTACATTTTAACTTTCGAATTGTTTACACATATTTCGAATACACTGTCAGGACTTAACGCGATGAATAATTTTTTGCAGATAAATAGTACTTACATACCTGCTTCTTTATTGCTGGTATTCTAAAGTGGTGGCACCACCTCGTGGTCATGATAGGACAAAATTTTTCATCGTGTTAACTTCCAGTAGTATATTTAAAACAAGTGAAATATGATTATGAGACCAATATTTATTTAAATAGTTTTTCACTAATATAAATATCTATTATTACTAAGATTAACTGGCAATGAAAAAAATATTGTCAAATTCAAAATTGAAGAATCGATTTGACGTACTTATCGTGTAAAATACACGCTAATAGTTCCACCTCACCTCCTCTTTTTTGAAGTTATTTTATCATTTTTATCATCTTAGCAGCCGCTAACTATCCACTGCTGAACATAAGCCTTCCCCCAAAAAGTGAATTTTATCAGTAGTTGCTACGCTTGAAAGGCGGGTTGGCAACCACACTTAGGCTTTTAATGATATTTTAAGAAGGACATTGCTGCTCATCCCTCTGGCATTAATCCCTTACTCGCCTCTTACGACACCCACGGCGACTAGATAACTGCTATTGTGATCACGGAATATATACATATACATAGAAGATATATATACATATACATAGAAGATATATATACATATGCATATACTCGTATATGTATATGTATACCTATAACCACTATTTTCAATCGGCTTCAAAATTAAGGACATTCTCAATTCGGATGTATTTTTTTTATTTTCTAGCTTATAACTCCATCAGTTATAAAACGTAAAATTCTTTTTTATTAAATGTGTATGCCTATAGATTGATCCCATAGAAATTTTATTAAAATATGTTCAGTACATTAGTTTTTAAATGAAAATATCTGGTTCTATCACGGTTGAAGTCGATGTCTTTTGTGGAACAAAATCTTTTATTCGCTTACTCTGTTATTATTGTACTTCATGTGCTACACACTAGTCTAGATAAAACTCTTTAGCTAAAGACTCATTAATAATAATTTATATTAATTTAGTTGTCTTTTCCCTAAATCCAAGGTTTTAATACTCTTTAATTTACGTCACCTAAATATTTTTATATTTATAACGACACGTTTGAATATATTCTAATAAAAGATCTTCCCAATACTAAACAACACGAAACATGTTTTTGTTAAATTAATTTAATGATCATAGTATTCACAAAAGACTTAGTTAAAAACAATTCCACAAAAATTTATTGATTCCTTATTTGAAAATTTTATAGTTTGTGCTACATTCAAATTTGTTTTGTATTAAAATTACAAAAAGTAATTGATTGTCATAGAAGTTAATTATTTACTGTAAATATAAAACTCTGTGTCATATATTTACAAAATTAGTATAAAATTAGAATATTACGATAAGGTTGGCTACAAACGTAATTGGATGGTTATAAATGAATGCTTAATTAAATTGAAATTAAATATTGAATGCACTTTATTTTCAGTTCCGTTTTGGTCTTGCATATTTTTTTGTCAATTCATTACTCAGTTGAATTTGTCACAACCATTCTTCAGTCATTATATAACAGTTCTAAGCTTAATTGTTTATAGTTATTAAACTTAACCAAAATGTAAACATACAACTATCAAATCTATTAATTGGTTGAATATTTCTATTTACTACAAATTTCATTTAATGTGTCATTGTAATAATTTCAATAAAACTTGTTTATTTTTCGTTAAGTTCAATTGAAACCGCATCAAAATTTTAACCCAAAATCAACTAAGCTCGCACATGTTTATTATGCTGTCAGCTAAGCCAATCGCCTGTAACCGGTTCTATCGAATATTGCCCTCGTGAACGGCGGGTTGTAAAAATAATTATACGTTAGCAATAAATTAGCGGGAAGAGTTTTACTCAGGAACGATAGGATGTAAGTTAACTCAAAGTTGTCCACAGCTCAATTAAAGGTACTTAGTTCAGCGGCGCGTTTCGTAATGGTGTTGCTAAGTACATAACTGAATTGTACTGGTAATTCCATTTGCTTAGTGCTTTACTTATTGTTTTTTTTTTTCTAAATTTATTTTTTATTTGAAATAAGCAATTGCCGTGTTTCTTGTCCGTTCTTCTCGGCTTAAATTGTATTCCGAACAAGGTGGTAGACTCATAGAAAAAATGAACTTAGTGCAAATGTAAATAAAACAAATAATTCAACCGACTATAAGACAGTCTACTAGTTTTTTTATTATCGTCATCATATCAGCCGTTAACTGACCACTGCTGAATATAGCCCCCCCCCCTTCCCCTCCATAAGGGGGATTTTTCCAGTAGTTGCCACGTTTGATAGGCGGATTAGCAATCGCAGTTATATTTTAGATGATGTTTTAAGAAAGGTGCTGCTGCCCATCCCTTGACCATTAAGTTCTCTTAGTCGCCTCCTACGATACACACGGGAAAGGAGGTAGTCGCCCGTTCTATGCTAGGACCACACGACAACGCTTGTCTACTCGTACTGAGGTCCAAAATAAATAATACAAATAAAAAATCAATCAATCGATTGAATGCGTTGATTTACTACTAATTTCATTTATTTATTATTTCTGTTATATTTTCAATAGTCTTTGTTACCTTTTCATTAAATTCTATTGAAACAAACTATACCTATTATCTGTAACTGGAGCATGCTATTGTGCAAAGTTATTATATTATCTTTTTTTTTTTTTTAAGTAATATTTAACTGTTATATATATATATATATATATATATATATATATATATATATATATATATATATATATATATATATATATATATATATATATATATATATATCTACTATGTAAGTATGTTCCTATACATACTTACAGATCGGTCTCATAGAAATTTTATTAAAATCAGTACAATAGTTTATTTTTTAAATTGAAATAACTGGCTTTGCCACAATTGAAGTCAGTTTTTTTTTTTTTTGTGGGACGCAATCTTTAAATATGCATTGTTTGCTTCAGATTAAGAAACAGAATAGTGTTTATCTCGATAAGAAAAAAATGGACTCGATAGATAACGTATGGTTTAAAACAACGTTTCCGAACTAGTAATACAAGTAAATGTGTGATGTTAAATATCAGACCGCAGAAAAAAATTGTATTCCGAATGTCCCAAGACCGCATTAACCTCTGAATTTTCAAGTTCGTATTTGAATCATATTACATACTTTTTTTTAAATACCATGGACCAATAGCTTTACTTGTAAGAGACCAACATTTATTTAAATAGTTTTACACTAATATAAATTAGCTTGGTTCACAAATTATGATACCCTGTGTTATGAGGAACCAGGAAATACATCTGGAGACACAACCCAAAACACCCAAAACCGAACCAATTCAAGAAACTAAATTTTCTAAAACTAAATAAAGAAAATTAAACCCAGGACCTCATTTACGCAAAGCGACGTAGGGCGATACAGAGTTTGGAGGTAGTCACTTGCTCCATCCGTCGGAGGATATATAAAGCCGTCACCCGAGTCTTGTTTTGTACATGTTAATGTAAATTAACAAATTTCTTTTTGTCAACAGAGCGAGAAATGGCTGGCGTTCGAGAATCTAAAAGAAGAAATTCAAGAGAAGATTCGAAAATTAGAAGAAGAACGACATACAGTGGATCTCTGGTCCTGCGGAGCTGAATGGGGTAGAAAGAGACGTAAGAGGCAGGTCACAGTGACCCCACCTTACGTGGTGTATATGTTACCAGACGCTGATATCATGGAAGACTGGAGACTAGTTAGGAAATTATTGGAAAGAACCGATTAAGTAACTATCACATTTGTTCAGCATTGATTGTGTTTCCGAATTATTTTACTAGTTGCAATTTGTGACTTTGCGCTCTTAAATTGCGAAAAAAAGATCCCTGGTTATCTTTATTCAACAATTACCGTAATGGTTCGTTTATGTACCATATTTTGTTCAATTCCGCGTGTCTTTGTAACAAACATGCAAATAGATTCATAAACTTTCAAATTTTATAATAAAATTCTTCTTATTTCGACATTCAAATATTACAAAGATCATTATTATAAAGCATGATAAAGATTTTTTTTTTAATATTAAAAAATACAAAATTGTTGCTGAATAGAAATTAATCAAATTTTCCCCCAAACAAATAAAAAATAAAAATTCCACTTTACGTTATAAAAATGTTTAATAAATCAAGTTTTTTATCCAAATAACTTTTCATTTGGATAAAAAAAAGCTAATTAAATTTATTTTGTCATATATTTGATCTAATTTTTCTATTATCTGTTACAACACAATCAATGCGAAAATGTTAGTTTATTAACAATTCTATTATTATAAAAAGGTAAATCTGTATCACTATAGTTGATTGAATGAATGGTATTTATACTTTGGTGAAAATGGTAAGGATAGGAAGAGAAACTTACAAATAAATAAGTGCTAAATTAAGTGAAAATGTTTATAACGTTTACAAAATTTTATGTAATTTTCTTCGTTCGTGTATATCTGTTTATCCTAGTTTATATGTCATTCATTTTGAAATTAATTTCTAACATCCATTTGGGCTGAAATTTATCATACGTGATAAATTTGTAAGAAAATATTTTTCATCAAATATTAACCATAATATTTTTTGGTTAACTTCTGTTATTTTTTTAGTTAATGAAGATTATTGAAACCTTGTCATTTGTGTAATACATTTTTGATCTTTGGATTGTGGAATCATTGTTAATAGCATTAACATGTAATTATGTATAGAAACATAAAATGTCAAAGATTTGTTTCACGGCTAAAAAAGTAACCTTTTATGAGTACTTATACAAAACAAAGATTGTCTTTGAAATTATTGTTTTTTTTTTTTACTTTTAAAACAATACAGTTTAACCACAAAAATAAAGTTTGTATACAATTAACATCAAATTAGGCTCAAATATTTGCATTTAATGTAAAATAGCCTTGCTCCATCGATAACTATTATGTATCTATTTAACATCATCTCTATACATTGTATGTACTCTGCATTGCAAACATTTAACCTGTGTATTTGCATGTACATAGAACATAATTAAAAAAAAACCTGCATATGTCACTTTTTAATAAAAAAAAAAAAAAAATGTAGATAACTAGTTATTAGTTCACTGACCGGTCACATATACATACAGCAGTGACGAATAAAATCATTTTTTACCAATTTTTTGTACAAACTTTTTTATCTTATCGTAGTCAACAAAAAAAAAATTAAGTTGACTATAATTTTTATCTGATTCCGTATAACAATTTAAAAAAAATGTTGATTATTTTCTTTCTATTATGTCTGCTACAGCTCTATACGTTGAATAAGAATTTTGCATTTAGTTTTGAATAAACTAATTAAAACGAATATATTTATGTTTTATTTTTTCTTTATAGATTTTAGTGTGATTTTTGACGAATTTGATATTGTGATTTATTATGAGTTGTTTGGTTATGGGTTCGAACCCCGCTGAATACAAATATGTATTAAAAGTTTCATAACCACACATTATATTTTTGTCATACTCGCGCTCACGTCACAATCTCTCATGACTAAGGATCACGAATTGTTTCCGAAACAGGTTGAGCTTTTTCAATCTAATTAAATGTAAATTAAAACGGTAATTATTATATTAAAATAATATATTTTAATATTAGGTGTAGACATTTGAAAAAGGTATATGTTTATAACTGCGCTTGGTTTAGGACTATTTAGCGCTATGTTCAGATCTATTTACTAAGTATAATTTCGTTATGTTATTAGTTAAACATTTAGCGGTCAATACAGAATGTGGCCTCCATAGGTAAGTATGTATGTAGTATACCTGAGTGAGGTATATGAAATATATTATTGCAATTGTAAAATAATATATAAAAATATTAATGGGTGTGAATATTTGTATATAAATGAAATTAGAAGCAATAGAATGTTTAATGACAACAGTTTTTCATTTCTCCAAATAATTATATTGAATATATATTGAATACTCTTTTTGCCCGATACTTCGATTGGATTTCTAAAATATGATACCAATTAAATAGGCTACTTCTAGATTGCGTATCAAGATAAAACTTAAACCACATTTTAAGTTACACCTAGAACATAACTTGAAAATCGCATCCAATTTAGTGCAGTAGATTTTTCGTGATGCCGCAACAAACAAACAAAATTTCCAAAAAAATATTGTTTTTGGTCTTTATTAGTCTTATTTGGACCCCTTGTATTATTTTTTCTCAAATATTTTTCATGTACAGACATCGCCTAGTTACAATTTTATAATATTAAAGATTTATAAATAAGATTATTCACTAATCTACTAATTGATAATTGCTCGACTAGTGACAGAAAGAGCTGTGCTGGGAATTTCTCTAAACGATAGAATCTGATAAATTACTGATATAGCTTAACGACATATATGATACTTCAACCATATATCCAGTATGTCATATCTGCCGTAGAACTGACAACTGTTGATATAGGTATATTTCGAAGTGGAGACTGCGAATTAACAAGCATAGTTTAGGACGACCTGTTACTAGATGAAGTAACAACATACGCAGAATAGCTGGTTGCAATTGGAATGCAGTATCTATCCTATGTTGCTGTTACTGAAGACTATAATGTTATGCTTCTGTATCCAGTAATTTCAATTTCCATCCCATCCCTCAAACACCGCTGCTGCACGACAGAAACACGCTAATTAGTTATTTATTATAGTAAGTAAAAACTTTAAGATGCATGGCGTGAAAATAATACTTTCGAAGTCAACCTAACAGTTTGTCGCAATTTTTTGATATCACTTGTTAACGTCGATGTATGTTGTCTAAAATTGAATTTACAACATCTTTATGGGTTAGTACAGTTCTACATGACAGTACCTACTTAGACTAGCAATAAAGTTCGATATTTATATATTAGTTTCCCCTAGACATTAATGGCGGGAAAAACGGTCATCTCCAATTTCGATATTCTACTTTAGAGAGCCGATATTTAATATATTCGTTATAAGATCAATATATTTTATTTATCCATTAAAATAATTGTATCATTATGGCAGTAAAAACCAAAATAATGTTATAAACCTAGTATGCTCACATACTAAATTATAATAAAGATATTTAACTCGACTTCAAATATTTCTGAACTGTTTCTAATATCTTTGGCAGGCTAATACCAAAAATGTCAATGATATTTATAATATTATTTAATAACTGTACTTCGCGAGTTAAGGGAGCGTAGGTTAGTTTTGATTGACGGGATATAGATATTCTAACTACAATATATAACTCTATGATAGTATTTATTCTTTTATTGTAGAAAAGTAAACTATACATATAGTATAGTACAAGTATGCAAATAGTATTAATATAATATCTATATATATATATATATATATATATATATATATATATATATATATATATATATATATATAGTTATTAGTTAATTACAAACAGTAATAACAAAGAAGAGTTATCATATATTACAATCAAAATAATCTCAAATAACGGGAAGCACTCAAAAAGTTAATTCTATATATATAATATATCTGAGGATATATATATATATATAATATATTGTAATATACTGATATGGAATGTATGAATGAAAACTCTTTGTATTGTTATAAAACAATGAAGGCATTCTAATTTTACTTATATACTAGCTAAATCCCGCGGCGATACTCACGTACATCAGTATGTAAGTATCCAATGTATTAAGTTAGGACATAATCTACTCGTCCATCTAAATTTTACACAAATCTGTTCTACTGTTTAAGCGTGATTGAGTAACGAACATCCAAACATCTTTACAAAGTTTTACATGCATAACACTAGTCTTATCCGCATAAATAAATAAATAAAATAATCTATATAATTAATTTAAGATACAAACCTATCCGTGTATGAAAATCAAATCCTTACAAAACGAGCATGCGGCTCGCCTGATGGTGACTACCGCCGTCCATGAGCACCCGCAACACCAAACGCATTGCAGGTAAGATGCCGGCCTTTTAAAAAGGAATATGCTCTTGAATATTATGCTATCGTATCGGTTCGGAAAAACTACTACTGTAAGTTTTTTTTTACAACACATGGGGCAAACGAACATGCGGCTCACGTGACTACCGCCGCCCATGGTCACCCACAACACCTACGGCATTGCAGGTGTGCTGCCGGCCTATTAAAAAGGAATATGCTCTTTTCTTGAAGGTTATGTTGTCATATCGGTTGATTTCAAAACGGGGTTATAGGTAGAAAAAGTGCCTTGAAAAACATACGGTAGTAGGACCATCACAAACAAACCTCTATCCTTACCTCCTCATAAATATTCACGTCCATAACTGCAGTAGGACTTTAGAAATAGCATTGCTTAATAGTTTATTGTAGCGATAGCATGATTTTGTCATTTTGTCATTAAATAATGCAGAGATAAATCTTACAACATCTAGATGCAAATAGAAATAGCTATACCCTGCTAAATATAAATCTAATGTAATTATATATTTCACTGACTTGGCAGGTACGCCATCACACATCTGAATTCCAACTACGAGGAAAAATGTCGCTAATTAGTGGAAAATGGTTACGTAATTTTCAAAATTAATTCTCGGTTGAAATATTAAAGTAATTTAGTTATATAGATGACTCTACTAAAAAGAGATGCTTTTTTTGACGACACGACGATGAAAAGACGACATAACTCCTTATATATTATAAATATATACGTAAAAGTTCACAAAGATAATACACGTTTGTTGCTCAATCACACTTCAACGGGTGAACGGATTTGTATTAAAATTTTGATACGGATAGGTTGTATTCTAAGTAAACACGTAAGATACTTTATATGTATATTCAAATAGTGAGTGTATAATTAGGTCGGATACATTCATCTTAGTGGCACATTTAAATCGGTGATACAATCACTTTGATTTTTTATATATGTATGTAATTTGTATATTAATGTTTTACAATTGTACTGTTTCTTTGAGTATTAATAAACACATTAATTGCTCTACTCTTAGCGTGATTTCCATTTTGTCAACAATATCAAAATATTTAAAATATTTTGTAAACCCGACTATAATTTGGTATGCACGTAAGTTATTATTTATATTTGATACAAATACCATCTCCATATAGGGAAAAAAAGATTTTAGAATGGCGACCGCGTACGGGTAAACGCAGTGTAAGACGACCCCTCACAAGATGGAATGATGACCTGAAATGCATTGGCAAGGAGTCAGTGCATGCAGGTGGCTCAGTTCTTTATGGCAGTCTTTGGGGAGGCTTATGTCCAGCAATGGACGAATAATAGCTGAAATGATGATGACTCTCCATACAACTGCTTCGCTAAAAATAGATCAACTTTTTTATACATGTGTGCATAAATACAGTACATGGAGTACATTTATACTAAGCATGTGGAAGAAGTTCATAATATAAAGTTAAATTGAAAAATAAAAACGATACAAAATTCTTACGAATATATTTGAAACTATTTTAAAGAATAAAGTAGAAATAAATATATGTTTTATTTTTAAAACATAATAAATAGAGTTTTTAATTAACAAATGTATATAATTTATAAACAATACGTATATTATGAATATACGTATTGTTATATTATGTCAGAGAAAATTGTTACAAATTCTAATTTGAAAAAAAATTGGTAATTTTTAATCCAATTACTTTCAATACTAACAATTAAAATTGTTTTGTTTTGATTTTAAAAAGAACTTGCCATATGTCAAATTACCTGACAAAATTTTTACACATTCTTATACTCGATACTATATTAATAATTAATATATATAGATAATAATACTATTCAATGTATAAGCAAAAATAAGTAACTTAAAAAAGGAGAAGGTTCTCAATTCGTTTGAGATTCTTATTTTTTTTTTATTTATTTCTGTATTTATTTTTTTTTAGTATATTACGCAATTTTTTCATCTAATTTAAACCGATTCTGAGAATTCTTTCAATTTTTTCTATTAATTTAGTAACTACTGAAGCTGTAGCTTTCAATGCAAAATAAAAAGAATTAGACACGGATGTCTTAAATATAAATATTTTAATTCTA